TAAGGCCACAGGTTGATGATGAATGGCCCCTCCCAGAGGAAATAAAAGAGGAGTGAAAGGGGAGTAGAGTTTGCAGGAGACAATTAGTTTGCTTAATTGGTTCATGCCTCTCCCGAGACTCCTTGCCAAGTTTTCCAGATATCAGCCTGCAAGCTCTCCAAGCCAGATAAGGTCTGTGACTGTAAATCCTCCCATGAAAGATTTTGCTGGATGTGAATGAGCAGAATTCACAGTAAAGTAATAAAAGAGATTTTTGTTCAGACAAGAAATTTGCTTCATGCTCTTGGGAAGCCTCGGTCAGAACAGTTAGAAGTTAATACCTTGAAAGAAGCCATCCCCAAAAACCTAACGGCCTCTTGCATGGGAAAGTTAAGAGAGGCGCAGTACAGATCAGGAAGGTGTGCAGGGGGGAGCAGCCAGTGAGGAGAGTACACAACAATGCACAAGTGGCCAGAGCTATGTGAAAGATTTAACAGATTTCAACAATCCAAGGAAGCAATTCCCTGTTTGTTTGTGAAACCGATACACACATTTTATAGGCAGGAAAATTTCTGACATGTTGAACAAAATAAAATCATTCCTGTGATTCAAGAAATTTTTTTTTAAATTGCTAGTCAATTTCTTTGAGATATATTACATATTAAGGACATTTATCAGCAATAAATTCTCATTGCTTGGGGCCCAGATTGCATTTAAAGCCAGAGTTTTCATTGTTGTTGTTGTTGTTAAGGCATTGCCAATATCTTCACAATAAAGAACACGCCAGTTACCTTGTAAGAAATATTCCTTTGCTGGGCAGTCTCTGATACTTTCTCCACAAGGTTTTGTAACCTTTGTTGCGTCGCATGTGATACATAACTAGCTACGTCAGGATGGATTTCCGTTATTCCATGCTTTTTACCTGAGTTTCCAAGGGGGGGAAAAATGGTAATGTACATAAGCCCGCATTTATGAATTAGAGCTACCTTCTTTGCCAAAGGCTGCATGAACTATTTTTTCTTTTTCATTGAGTTGCAGGTGAACAGGTGTGCTGCTACTCCCAAAATACACTACCTTTAATGCGAATATTCTATTTGGAATGATTGATAGAAGAACTATGGAGAAAATTACCATATTTTTCAGAGTATAAGACAAACCTTTTTCCCTCAAAGAGGCGGCTGAAAATCTGGGTGCGTCTTATATACTGATTACAGCATTTTTTAGCCTCCCGAATCCTTCACCAAAATGGCCGTGCATAGCGTTTAGGAGGCTTTCAGAGTGCTCCTGGGGGCTGGGGAGGGCAGAAATGAGTGAAAATGGGCCATTTTTTTCTCAATTTTGCCCCAGCCCCCCAGGAGTACTCTATAAGCCTCCTAAAGGCTATGCATGCCCTTTTTTTTTTTTTTTGACAAAAAACTGGCCTGTTTTCATGAAAAGTGGGCCATTTTTTGCTCATTTGGGGGGGCACCCCCACCAGCTCCCTACAAGCTTCCTAAAGGCTATTGATGCTCTTTTTTAAAAAAGAAATGGACCTATTTTCGTGAAAAATGGGCCGTTTTTGGGTGGTCTGCAGAGTGCAAAAACCTTTTTTTAAAATTTGCCCCTTCAAAATCTTGATGCGTCTTATACTCTGGTGCGTCTTATACTCCCCAAAAAATAGGTGTAGGTGAGGTTGTACACCAATGCAATGGCAAGTGAAAAGAAGGCTGCTTTCAAATATTTAAGTCAGCATTATAGTTCTCCGCAGTCTGGCCCAGGGGTGGGGTGGGGGGAGGCAGGGGAAGAGACGGACACCTTCTGCAGCACCCTGCTGGCCAAAACGGGGCACGGGGGGGGGGAGGCACGCACGAGCCCCAAGCAGCCCGTTTTTGACCTGGACAGCCTCCTGCAGCACTCTGCCAGCCAAAACAGCAGAGTATCTGAGCAGACATGCATAGGATTCCATTGTAAATATGATCTTGAGGCGAGCTCAAATTGTATTTCAAATTTGTTAGGTACCTTTATTTTAATATGTATAGTAATGAATATGATCAAAGTATTACAGAAAAAGCTTTCATTAAAATTATTTATATTTATGCATTTGGTTCCCTATTATATGTTTTGAAACTTTATTTGCTGTTTTTTCATGTCCATTCATACTATTATTTTTTAAGTTCTTCAGTACTTCTACTGTCTTTCATTCTTTTATTTTTCTCTTTCATGGATGCCGTGTTCTTTGGAACCTTGTTTAAACCAAGTGTCAGGCCTGCAGTCATGTTTCTTTTGGATCTTTGGCCTGCCACACTTTATATTATTCTACCATGCTGTTTCTATAGTGGGGAATTGGGAGGGGGGGGCATAATATGGAGTAAAATGCTATGTAGCCAAAATAAAATTCCTTTTTAGAATGCCAAGGTCATCCTTTGTCTTGGCACTTCTGCACCTGACTGGAACTGGATGGGTGGAANATTAGCACAAATACAACACAAATCTAAAAAGGCAACAGTAAAATATTGGGCTTTCTGTCTGGATGGTCTCTTTTGATGAGCTGATGGACAGAGAATGGAAGCAGTTAGCTTCCTCCCATAATTGGGGCATACCAGGGGTTGTGACACTATATATATATACTAAATTACTAAATTAATATTATATATATTGCAGAAATGTTCAGACAACCAACTTTCTACAGTAAGAACAAGGAATTATTTTGCCAAGATAAGAAAATCTGTATTTCATGTTTCCTCTGGTCTTTGAAGTCTTGCCAATTTGTTAATTGTGTTAATAAAATGGATTCCCTCTTTCATGGCTGATTGGTTGGGATTCATTTCGTAGCTAAATAGATCCTGCTTAAAGTTGATTTGTGTATTCTTAACATTCTTTGGACATTAGCAAACCACTGGCAATACGCTTTCTCTTCAAACAAAAAAACAAGAAACACAAATGCACAAGCCCATTAAGATAGGCAAGGGAGAGCTCAGTGTTCAACAGCAGCCAGACAGCTGTGAGTTCATTAGAGCCAAAGCAGCTGGTTCTTAATTAAGCAAACAAAAGCTTCAATTCAGGCAGCCTGCACTTCATTTGGCTATCCCGGAACTGATTAATTTAAAGAAACTCAATTAATCAGTTTGTTGAAATGCAAGCAAGACTTCCAGGGGGGGATCAAAACCAGATTCGGAGCTTTTAAAAACGGGATTTTAAACGAAATAGGTCCATGCACATACTTGCATAGAGTTGCATCCAAACTGAGCAGCACTCTGAACAAACCCTAATATTTGAAATCAGCCAGAGGAATTAAGAACTTATCCTCTGCTTAAAGGACAGCTATCTTCAAGCCTGGCTCAAGGGCAGGACAATGCAAGTTAAACTTTTCCTCTGGAGAGAAACAAGGATCAAAACCTCTGGAACCGTGTATATGGAGGTGAGCCATATACCAAAACAGTTCTCTCCAGCCATGCTCCCGGTGGTAGCAGGGAGCACAGGAATATTGTTTCTAAGAGTATTCCAACTGGGATAGAAACTGCAAACTTCAGTGGATTTAATGGGACGAATAAATCTAACAATTGTTTTTGTTGTTCAGTTGCTAAGTCACGTCTGACTCTTTGCAACCCCCAAGGACCACAGCAGGCCAGCCCCACCTATCCACCACTATTTCCCGGAGTTATCCCAAATCCCTGTCGATTATATCAATGACACGAATCAATTCATCCTCTGCCGTCCCCTTCTCCTTTTGCCTTCAATCTTTCCCAACATCAGGGTGTTTTCCAAGGAGCTCTCTCGTCTCATTAGGTGGCCAAAGTATTTTGAGCTTCTGCTTCAGCAGCTGTCCTTCTAGCAATGGGTGGCTCAAATTCCAGAAATAGAGGAAAACAAATCCTCTCTATGAAAATGGGGCAGAAACTATTTTATTAAATAGAGGGGTGGGAATTAAATAGGGGTAGTGGATGGTCTTCTTGCCTATGGTGCTGAAGGGAAGTGTTCTGACCTAGGCTTCACCAAATCACGAAGCAGACTCCTTGTCCCGACAAAACCCCTTTTTTTTAAGTTAATGTGAATTCTTCTCATTCACATCCAGCAAAGTCCCGGCAAACAGTCTTTCAAGGGTGAATTTACAACCACAGACCTCATCAGGCTTGGAAAGCTGCCAGGCCAGTATCTTCCAAAAGTAACACTATATAAAACAATACTTGGCAAGGCGTCTCTGAGAGTCATGAACAAATTTTCACACTAATTAACCGAACCAATTGTCTCCTGCAAATTCCCCTCCCCTTTCGCTCCTCTTTATTCCCTATTGGAGGGGACATTCACCATCCACCTGTGGCTTTACTCCCAAGTCAGCCCGTGTTCCTTAGCTGTTCCCTTCTCCTGGCAACTCTGCGCATGCGCACACTGGGAACAGGCTCCAACTGTTCATCTGCCTCACTGATGTCTGACTCTGGAGGCAGCTGATAACTGTCAGACGGCCCTGGCCCCCACTCTGCCTCTGACATAGAGCCCTCATCAGAGCCTTCCCCAGACTCCAGGACTGGCCCATGTTCCTCCCCAACCTCCTCACTGTCTGAGTCTGCCACCCGCTCTGCTGGCAGGCCACAACAGGAAGATAAACTGAAGGGTTAAGAGAACTGGCTCCCTCTTTAATTCAAGTCCCACACACATATGTGCACAAAAGTAGGGCAGAAGTGACATCTAGCAAACGTAACTCCAAACTTCGTTTCCTGTTACCTTTTTATTAAAAGCAGGAAACTGCTGAAGGAATGCAAAAGAAGCCATTTCAATGCCGCTACACCTTGAAATTATCAAGCTTCTTTGGACAATCTTATGGGTCAAAGGCCCCTTAAAAAGCTAAGCTTCTGCCTATCAAAACTTAAACCCACAGCTACTGAAAAGAAAACCACCAGCCCTTAAAAAGCCTGCAATAATTAATTTTGTTGGGAATAAACAGTGAGTTTTCTGTTGAGTTGAAGATAGGAAAGATGGATTTAAACTCCTGAAAAGTAAGGTTTGGAAGAATGCAGGTGTTTGCAAAGAGAATTCTTCTCTCATACCTCTGTCCCTGATCCAGACCCTGGAGAATCCAGTTTCCTTTTCCTTCTGGGTCCTATTGCAGCCAACGCAGTCAAGTTAGCATCCCTCTGCCGCATTTGTGCTAGTTCCTGTTGTTGCATCTGGGTTTGGCAAAACAAAATGATCGTTATTTCCTTGCAGTTTTTATTATGGTTTTTTTTAATACAATCACTTTTGCATAGTTGAATATGTGTGTGTGTGTGTGTGTTCCAGCATAACTCTGGAACGCCTTGAGCAATTTCAACCAAACTTGATACACGGATTACTTATTCTCTGGAAACAAATACTGTGGGAGTAAGACACCCCTAATGCCCCTCGGTGTGTGTGTGTGTGTGCTGTTAAGATACAGCCTGTTGTGCCTTAAAATGGCTTCTACCGTACTGCCTTAAAATGGCATCTACTGTACAGTGCTATGGAGAAGTCATGGTGATGGCTTCACAGTACTCCACAAGGGGGCTCCCTCTGGAAGAGGGAAAATCCAACATTAGAAAAGAGGGCTAGGATAAATAAATGCCCGAGGAGCGCTGGGTTATCAGCTAGAAGTAAATATAGTTTAAACATACCTCCTTGGCCTTTTGTTTCAATCTAAGCTGCTCCGGATCTTCTTGTCTAGATCGAGACTGTGTTGATTTGTTAAAAATGGAGGAGAGAAGAGGGGAGAGAGAAGAAAGAGAGTCTTTTAAAATTACGTTTAAAATAAAGTAATAGTCAGTACATTTATAAACAAGAAAGTGGAAGACTGTGAATTCCAATCTTGCTTTAACCATGAAAGCCAGCTGGGTTACGTTAGACCAATCACCAAGAAGCCAACAGTTCTAGTCCCACCTTAGGCATGAAAGCCTAAGGCTGGTGACTGGGCCAATCACCAGGAGACTGTGAGTTCTAGTCCTGCCTTAACCATAAAAGTCGGTTAGGTGATTTTGAGACAGTCACTCTCTCATCCAAATAATTTCCAGACTATCCAACAGCACATAGTCCCCAATGTATGACTGTATATAAGCTAAGAATTACAATTGTCATTGCTGGTCATTAAGCAAGTCACCATGTTATTGCGCCTGATTTTTCAATTTTAATTCTAAGTGATAAGTCATAAATTGAGGACTTTTGTGCTCCTTATGGGGCTGTTTTATGACATGGAATTGCAGCTGGCACCTCAACAGCAACGTGCTGGTACCCAAGTTTGAAACAAACAGAGCTTCCTTTCTCTTTTTTCACATTCGGTATAAAATAAGGACTTCTACTCTTCCAATGACAAATGTGACATTTGTTTCATCTATTAAAGGATAACACCCAGGAGCACTTGCCTTTGCTGCGCGCATTAATATTTCCCTTTCTTGTTCGTCTTTCCGTTGTTTTTCTATTTGATCAAGTTGTTCAAAGAACTTGAGTTGTGCCCGGACGTCACTTGCCTGTTCGTATCTATCATCATCCTGAAAACAAGGCGATTTGCAAAGAAAAATAAAAATGAAAGATGGGCAACAGAGGAATCACAATGTCAAATTGCATAGTTGGAAAATAATGGAAGTTCCTCATTGACTGTGGATTCCCATTCTCCTCCAAAGTTGAGTCCAACCAACTGGAAATGACCAGTGGTGTCAAACCGAAAGCCCAGGGGCCGGATTTGGCCCATGGGGTGCTTAGATCTGACCCATGGGGCTGCCCGGAAAACAGCGAAAGACTGGCCCACTGTGCCTCTGCCAGTGAAAATGCAGCTCGGGAGGGCCGTGGGCAGCTCTCGTGAGCTCTGTTTTCACTGGCAGAGGGTTGCAGGAGGCCATCGCAGCTGAAAACGGAGCTTGGGAGCCCATTTTCGTTGCCAGCACATTTGGGCCACTACAGGTGCCCGCAATACAAGTGATGGCAAGCTGTCCATGCCCACCCCCAGCCCCTCAGAGGTCAAACACAACCCTGATGCGGCCCTTAATGAAATCGAGTTTGACACCCCTGCTTTAGATCAAGATAATAGGCCCCTAGGTCTTCTCCTTGGGACACCAGTGCAACCATTAACCATTATGCTTATCCAGGATGACCTGCTGTGGCTGAAAGAGCTATCCCCCATCATTGTGTGATTATCAGATTCCTCAGCTGGAACTCATAATTATAGATTAACAACTAATTCAAGTGCCCCCAGTGGAATATTTAAAGGAATCCTTCCCCCGGGGAACAGCTTTGATCGATCAGTGAGCCTACCTGACCACCACAGCTCCAAACGTAAGAAATTTACAGTAATTAAAAAATAGCTATACAGTCTTCTCCTCACCTGTGTGCAAGGGGCCAGCTAACTAAACAGGTGCAAGAGCAGTAGGTGCTGAGTGAGCTCACTATCAAGAGTGAGCTAGGAACCTCTAGGACCGTGATGGCGAATTTATGGCATGCGTGCCAGAGGTGGCACGCAGAACCCTCTCTGTGGGCAGGCGGGCCATCGCCAACTGCTCTTCAGGTTTCCAGCGTGCATCTTCACAGGGGCCAGGGCACCAAAAAAAAGGTCATTTTCGAGCCGGTTTGGGAGCTCAAAAATGGCCAAAAAACAGGTATGTGCATGCTGGCCAGCTGGTCTTCGGGTTTCTGGTACTACAACACGCGCAAAGACTAGTTGGCCAGCATGCGTGCATGTGCATGCGCACAGGCCAGCTGGTCTTTTGATTTCCGGCGCTCACACATGCACGCGCATTCCCGTTTGGCTACTCAGCGCTGAAAAGGTTCGCCATCATTGCTCTAGTGGGATTCACTTTTTGAAGTGCCTCTCAGTTTAAAAGAAAGCATTGACTTTATATTGAAAAATAAATGAATAGAGAACTAGTTCTTGCTCTACAAATTTTTCCCAGAGAAACCAATGCAGCTGTTGAATGGGACAAACATGCCAAAGTTTTGACCCGATGAGACAGTAGACACCTTCTTGCCTAGTGCGTGGTTTTCAAGGATACAAATAGTGAACAGTCCTGTCTGAATGGCCTTATTCTACAGGTTTGGATTTTAAGGTCCAACACGCATCTGCCACTCCTCCTCTCTAGGAGAAAGTGGAGCACATAGAAGTTATTATTAGTTCATGGACCTTGCAGAATCTGGCGTTTACTCTCAGGATGAGGGGCAGATCTGGGTTAAAGGTTATCATGTTCTTGAAAGCAAACAACTTTTTCCATGGATAGGAATCCTAACTTAAAACACTTTAAAGACAGAATTCTATTAGTGTTGTGGTCCGCCAGCAGCCAGCAGAGCTGGCAGTAGATTCAGACAGTGAGGAGGTTGGGGAGGAACATGGGCCAGTCCTGGAGTCTGGAGAAGGCTCTGATGAGGGCTCTGTTTCGGAGGAAGAGATGGGGCCATAGCCGTATGCCAGTTATCAGCTGCTTTCAGAGTCAGACATCAGTGAGGCAGACGAAGAGCTGGAGCCTGTTCCCAGTGTGCGCATGCGCAGAGTTGCCAGACGAAGGGAACAGCTAAAGAACAAGGGTCAACTATGGAGTAAGGCCACAGGTTGATGATGAATGGCCCCTCCCATAGGAAATAAAAGAGGAGCGAAAGGGGAGTGGAGTTTGCAGGAGAAAATTA